GTGGTGGTGGTGGTGGTGGTGATGATGATGATGATTATGATGATGGTGATGATGAAGATAATGATGATGATGATGATGATGATGATGATGGTGATGATGATGATGATGATGATGATGGTGATGATGAAGATGATGATAAATTGGTTCCGAAAGTACTCTATTGTTACTTTAATAATTTATTATCTACTGACATGCGCAGTAGCCAAGGAAAATCAATTAGACTCTTGATTTTCTTGAATATTGAATTTATATTGAAAAACCTTCCTCTCGTAGAAAGAAATATTTTGAAAAGTTGTCTCAGCGTTTTTAAAATCCAGGGCACAGAGTACGTCTTACGAAGGAAAAGAGCAACTGCCAAAGATATTCAAGACATACCGGGCAAAGCGCGGGTTCATACAGTATACGATTACATGAAAAATACTGTATACAACGTATCGATGAAAGTCCGCGTAAAGGGCCGGGCACTTGGTTGAAAATCGATGAAAATTGGAATTGACTTGAAACTTGGTTAAACTTATCTTTATTTTCTTCGCAGTAAAACATGGCGAATAAAAATTATCAGTTTTATTCAGCATCTAAATTGTGAGTACTGTAAATGACGTCGTTCTTTTCGCTTTTAAACCACATGAAACTTCTCAGCTGCAAGTGGCTCCCAGGCTAAAATTTTCACTAATCTGGTTTTCATAATCATAATTGAGTCATATTATCCTCAATTACTTCAATTATTTGGATTTTTTCAAAAGAAATTGGGGCGTTTTCTTTCAAGTGCCTTTAACGTAAGTTCTTTTTTATKTACGTTACAATAAATGTATAAATAAAGTCACGTTTTTTGTTTTACGTCATGGTTGTAGAGTACACGTGCATTAACCCTTGTGATCTGCAGCCGCACGTCAGTAATGAGACTTTAATTTGATTTTTCGATTGCACGTTTGAACTAAGATTAGTTTCAACTAGATAATTCAATACACATAATAATGTTATTACTTGGGAGAATTAGTCTATTAACTATAATTTAATCGAATGACCTTATTTCATTGCATAGCAAAAGTAACCGGCCTAATGACGTTTGCGGCTTAGTACACTGGTACCCTTTTCAACTCGTCGGAGTTAGCGACATGAATGAATACTCATAAAACTATACTTTTTTTGCCTAAATAGAGTAAATCTTTTTAAGATAAGGAGGAATTGGGAAACTCAGTAATGAAATGACAAACAAAAGAAACTGAAGCCCGTTTTTTCACTCACCAACTGTTTTGGCCCATTTCATTTCCTTGGTTTTTTTTGCTTTGACTCGACGTTCGTTTTGGGTTATCTCGCTAGAAACGACGTTTGCGCCAACTTTGTTTTCTTGTTTCGAAGAGATCAAACTCAACTTCCCATAGAGCACTAGCATGACCAGGAATGGGCCAACAACGAATAACAGGGTATTGAAAAGGAGATGAAGTTGGTGAGGCTTGGAAGACGTGAGCTCGACCTTGCTTGGACTTGAACTCGAGTCGATGCATCCGAGAAGCTTGTTTCTGAAGGATATCCCTTGTTCATGTGTGTTGATTAACAGCGGAACTACCCCCATTGAAAAAACTGGTACAATCCAAGCTGGTATCAGAAGACAGACTATCTTTCGTCTTGAAAGAATGATCTGGCTGTGTAGAGGATAGACTACTGATATAAAGCGATCCCAGCTCATGAGGAATAGATGCAAAATAACGATGTAAATAAGAATGATAAGATAGTCAGAAAGAAAGTTACAAACGAATTCCGAAGCCGTCCAAGAAAAGTTTCGAAGTGTAATATGGAAGGCCATAGCGACGGGCATCAAAAAACCGTCTAGTATAGCGAGGCTACCTACGAGATAGCTACCAGGACGTTCACGAAGTTTCTCGCTTCTCGCCACAGCTGTAATGACACAGCTATTCCCTATTATACTACTTAGACAAATCAACACCAAAGCTAGAGTCTCTATGATGCTTTCAGGAGACGATGGATCTAAAACTCCAAGCTTAGCAGATTGATTCGAAGCCCCTTGGTTCGACATAGTTCAACGCCAGAGCTGTCGAAGCAAAACGACTGCTCTGCAGGTGCTGGTACTGAATTTTTGTTTTTTAACGTCACTGCAGCACTGACCTAAGGACACGAGAACCTTAAATTTTCACTGGTGACGAGAGTAAGAAGATACTTAAACCCCTCTATTAACTATGCTTAAACGGCGCCAATTGAGTAAGGAGTAGGCAAAACTTCAGAGACACACAAATGACCAACGTCTTGCATGCTAGGAAAGCTGGTTTGCTTTTTCTTTTCTTCATTAAAGTTCTATGTATTGTTCTTCAGTTTTTTACGCACTGAACTCACAGCTCAGTCATACGCCTAATAGGAAATTAGGAAGTCATTGTTCCAAGAGTGTATGCAACCGGATATTTCGCACTGAATCTCTAAGAGTACTGGTTGATTACTGATTGACTGATTTAAAAGCAAAACTCAGCGCAAATGCACAGGAAACTTAGATATTAGATTTAAAAAATTCGCAATTTTCTTTTTTGATATATGTGTGGAAAAAAACATAATTAGCCATAAAATTGATTTGTATAATATTCGTGCTATTATACGAAATTCACGCTAATTTTCGAGTATCACCGCATACGAACAATACGTGAGTTTTTGAACTTACTTCCTCACCGTTAGTTTCCGTTACTGATTTCAACATACTGGTCTTTCCATCTGATGGTAATCAGTAGTTTTTCTGTTTTGAACTATTTAATAAAAGCTTATTCTGAAAATGAGGGCAGGCCGTTAAAGTAGTCTTACATCTTTCATACCGGTGTGAAAGAGTGCCAAATGGCAGATTTTTCAAACTACAGAATTAGAATTAGAAACTGAAAGAGGTTGTGTTTTTTAAAAAAAAACATTTGTCAAAGGTGCGGCGGCAATATAACGAATCGAAATATGGCGATCTGAATTTGAATACTATGTTCTTGACTGCCACTAGCCTCTCAAGTACATGTTTATTGACAATTTTATGACAATTCCATGTCTATTTACAAAGTCTATTTATTGACAATAACGCAGCAAGGGCAGAGTCCTCGCCTGGGGCATAAGTATAAGTGATTTGAATCTACTTCAGTTGCTATTATTATGCAATATCGGAAGGTAAATTTAGCTTTTACTGACGTTCGTTAACCCAAGAATAGAAAATTTTTTTTTGCCCTTTCTGTTGTGGGGACAATTCCTCAAGAACTATTTACTATTCAGTGTTTTACGCTGTACAGGTGTTATTTTGAACGACGTTATTGTACTGAGAAATATGAAGGCGGTTCATGAGTTACTTAGGAAGACCGACCTGAAGATCTTTTGATAAACATAACAATATGACCATCCGTTAAAATGTCTTATCCCTGTCAAGAAAAACGCATATTATGATCTTAGGCCCGGTTCAGACGTCGATCTTTTGCATCGGAAAGAATTAAAGTCGCGCGAAACGTCAAAGACTGGCGTTGATTCAAACGTCGATCTTTTGTCGAGTCGAATCTAATGCGACGTAAATTAAAAAGGCTCAAGATTTCAGCGGTTTTTGGTTTTTGGCTTTGGGTCTTTGGTTTTTTGTTTTTTTTTTGTTTTTTTTGTTTTTTTGTTTTTTTTTTTGTTTTTTTTGTTTTTTTGTTTTTTGTTTTTGTTTTGTTCTTTGTTTGTTTGTTTGTTTTTTTGTCAATTGCGACCGACAAATATAGTGAAGTTCCCCAATATAAAACTTGGCAACGCCCCCTAATTTCATTCGGGTGAGCTTCACGCCGCCCCCATTTGGCTTTCAATTTTTTTCTAGAACGCACCTTATTTCTCATCTACCGTCCCCCCTCCAGTAATTAATGACCGGTCCCTTAATACAGAACGTTTCAATGATTCCTTTATAGATTACATTTTGAATATAATTTACTGAGCTATTAATATTTCAGGTAATTATTCATAATTTAACTTAGTTTTATTTGGTGTACTTTATTACACGAATAAAGGGACTGTTTTAAAGGGGACGCAATACACGCCATCTTGGAAGTATGTCAAACATACTGTGATACATGAGAACCAAGTTGCATATACGCCCGCAATTGCTCTTGGGTAATGCCGTGAAAAGCACTGAGACCGATTGAGGGACTTAGTGTTTTCTCGTTGAAAATTTAGGCCCCGTCCACACGTGTCCGGAAATTTTTGTATCCGTATCCGGAAATTTTCGAAAACGGTCTCCAGAGTGGAAATTTTCGAATACGCTCCGAATACGGATACGTGTGGACGGTCGTATCCGCAAATTTTCGATTACGATGACGTAAACACGATTTTGCGCATGCTCAATAAGAAAAACTATCCGTCAAAGGGACTAGGCACTAGCGTGCATCAGGGCGGATCAAGAATGTGGACAGTGAAAATGATTCGAAAACGATTCGAAAACGCTGCGTGTGGACGCGAACATTTTCTTATCCGCAAAAATAAATTTGCGGATACAAAAATTTGCGGATACGTGTGAACTGGGCTTAAAGTAGCATGCACAATAAAGTTGATCTGCCTGGGCTTCCTGTGCCAGACTAGGACACTTTTTAAGTAAGACCATGAAGTACTTACCCTATCATCAACATTGAACGCGGGCTCATTTCAGCTTCTATCAGCCAAATCAAGATGCTTTATCAACAATTCACTAAAACGCACTTATTTAAGCAATTTTTCAAAGATTTCTACTTTAACGGCAATTCTCTAACGATATTCAAACGTAGAGGAGTCCAGAAATGGTCTAAATCGCTGACTGTCGCAGGCGAGGAAGAAAATTCAAGGAAAACTAATTCAAATCCAGGTTTGAGATCTGACCATTCACACATTGAATTGGAATCTCCCCTTTCTATTTGACTGCAAAATCGATAGGATTTCTATTGATTGTTTTATTATGCAGGTTCAGTTTCCAGAAGTGTGTCTTCCTATATCAGTCCTAGTGGTGCTAGCTTTAATTTTGATACCCATAAACTCGTATTAACATTGGAACAGAATGGTAAGAGATAATCATGCTCACAACCAACTCGAATGAATTGAATGCAAAGCATTCGCCTATTTCTTTTTGGGATGATTTGAACTTAAATATGATAATAGGATGGACAGGAGCATATTATTTCCAAATTCTTTCCAAAGGTTTTAAGGCTGATTGATAAAAAAGAGGTTCACAAATGAATGGAACTCTTTATCTTGTCATTTATTGTGTATGGTAAAAAACTTAACACACAAGAGCTCTGTTAATTAATAATTCATCGTAATTCAGAAGCTTTCTAAGATATCTCCCTATAGGGGGGGGGGG